GGGGCGCACAGAACTGGACACAATACTCCAGCTGTGGCCTGACCAGCGTCGCGTAGAGGGGGAGGATCACCTCCTTGGCTCTACTCGAGATGCACCTGTGGATGCACGACAAGGTCCGGTTAGCCCTGCCAACGATGACCTCGCATTGTCGGCCCATGTTCATCTTGGAGTCAATAATGACTCCAAGATCCCTTTCTGCCTCCGTGCTCTCGAGTAAGGAGTTCCCCATTGTGTAAGTGTGCTGCATCATGCCCCGCTTACTGGGGCTTCTGTTTTCTCAAGCTCCCACACTGGTGCATCTGGGACTGCCAACTGCTAATGCCCCTGAGGCCTCAGGCCTCATTCAGTGGGCCTTGGCCCTGTGCTTTTCTGTCGGGGATGTGCTCCCCTAGCCTTTCCCCTCTACAGGGTCACCCGCAAGGCAGAGGGGGCTGAGGCTTCCTGGCACCCCATACTCGCCCTTCACTGAAGAAGCACAGATGTAGCATTTCCTGGAAGCTGCCCTGCCACAAGCATCCCCACCACACCATCCTCCCCAGCAGGGTGTAGTTTAAGTCATGCCCCAGGACCAGGAACCTCCTCCAGCCCCTAGTTCCTACCCTGAACCTCCAAGGTGTTCTGGAAGCAGCAGCTGGCTGGGTGATGTTGCTCCTTCAGCTCCTTGCAGCCACTGCCAGCTGTGCTCTGGGGCCTAGCCTTATAGCCAGGCTCCCAGCCTCTCCACCAATCAGGCGGCCTCCTGTCTAATATGCAACTGCTTGGTTGGGCCTGCTTCCACCAGCTGGCTGCTTACTGCCTGCTCAAACCCCTTCAAGTGTCAGGCACAACCTGTGCTCTGCCACAGTCCTCAACAGGGATCTTGACCCAAAACATTTGGTGGCTGGGTGAGCAACTGTGGCATTAACTCCCTAGATAGTGGCTGCACTGACCCTGACTCTGGCAGCCATGTGGGTTTAACACTGCTGCTGCTGCTAAATTTCCAGCCCTCGGGGGCTGATCCAGAGGGGAGTCTTTCAGACCATGAGAAGACCTGTGAGCCAGATGATCCATCCTGCCTGTGGACTGTATATATGACACCCTTACTCTGTGGAATAGAGGTTACAGTATGAATAACATTCTGCAGCTGGACTTCTACTAAGTGATTTATTATGACTTGTAATAACTGCACCTTTAAATGGCCATATTTTCTCACATACGACATGTCTTGGAATATAATGTGTGCCTTCATTTTCAAAGGCAGAGCCTAACTTTCAGCTGACTTGCCCTCCCTTCCCTGGTTAACTAAAGTTAAAAATCTGGCTGCTCCTGAAGACTGGTCTCCATTAATGAATCTATGATTTTTGAAAGAGCTAAAGAGTCTCTGGGGCTCTGAAGTAGCAGGAGAGTTTAGGAGTAGTTAGCAGAAAGTAAATTTTCTTAAGAAAGGTTAGTTTGATAAGTAGACTATCAAAACCATTAAAAAGGAAAGATGATTGTTAACACCTCTTAAGTGAAAAATAAGGAGCCATTAAGTCAATTGACTCCCTCAGCTGCCTGAATAGTAATTGCAATAGCTGCTGCACTGTGGACCAGGAATCAAAGCAGGGTGATTCTATCCTAGTCAGAAAATCATCTTCCCTGCTTCCCTAGTTTTGGAGAGGATGATTTTGCTTGGAAAGGTATGTGTTATATGTGAGAAAATATGCCATTTTGGGTACTTTCAAGAACACTTAGCAGAATTTAAGAAAGAAAATGAATAAATGTTGTTTTATTTATTGAAAGATCTTACTACTTAATTTTCACAATACTGTTCTGAACTGGTGATAGAAGTGAAATATTTTCAGCTGCCACATTTCAAATATCTGCCAAGTCTTTGCTTACGACATTTGAAAAATATACACCTTTTGGTTCCTATGTAAAGAAATATGCAGAGACAGATTTTCTTAGCAAATTCCAACACTAACATAACAGCACATTAACAAGGTATTTTATACTACCTTTTAATATAGTTTCATAGTAGCTAGGGTCAGGATCATCTAGCCTGACCCCCTGCCACAGGCAGGAATGAATGCTGGGTTCACAAGACCCCAGACAGGCAAATTCTTGTTGAATTTGCCCAAGGTTGGGGCAAGGGCCACTTCCCTGGGACCTTGGTTCCAGATTCTGGCCACCCTAACTGTAAAATATTGCCTTCTGATTGCTAACCTAAACCTATTCTGCATCAGCTTATTACCATTGTTCCTTGATACCCCATGTGGTGTTGGGGAGAAAAGGGCTCTTCCTATTTGATGATGATCTCCCCTGGTGAGTTTGTAGGCAGCCACCAGGTCCCCCCTCAGCCTCTTCTTGCAGAGGCTGAGCAGGTTCAGGTCCCTCAGTCTCTCCTCATAGGGCCTGTCCTGCTGCCTTCTTACCAAATGGGTGGCCTTCCTCTGAACTCTCTCCAGGCTGGCCAGATCCTTTGTAATGTGCAGCGCCCAGTACTGGACACAGTACTCCAACTGCAGCCCAATCAGTGTCGCATAGAGGGGGAATATCACCTCCCTGGACCGGCTTGAGATGCATTTTTGGATGCATGACAAGGTATGGCTGGCCTTGCTGGCTGCGGTCTGGCATTGGTGGTTCATGTTCATCTTGGAGTCAATAATGACTCCAAGATCCCATTCCTCCTCCGTGCTTTCAAGTGGGGAACTCCCCAGCTTGTATGTATGCTGTGGATTCCTTCTCCCAAGGTGCAGCACCCTGCATTTGTCTACGTTGAACCCCATTCTATTCTCATCTGCCCACTTTTGTAGTCTGTCTAAATCTATTTGCAGCCTCTCTTTCCCTTCAAGTGTGTCCACCTCGCCCCACATCTTAGTGTCATCAGCAAACTTGGACAGTGTGCTTTCAACCCCCTCGTCCAAGTCGCTGATGAAGATGTTAAACAGGGCAGGCCTGAGGACTGAGCCCTGGGGTACCCCACTGCTCACATCTCGCCAGGTTGAGTACGACCCGTCCACCACTACTCTCTGGGTGTGCCCCATCAGCCATTTTTTTTACCCATCCAACTGTGCAGGCATCAATGCCACAGTTGCTTAATTTATTAATGAGAACAGGGTGAGAGATGGTGTCAAAGGCCTTCTTAAAGTCCAGAAAGACTATGTCCACAGCGACACCATCATCCAAGGATTTAGTTACCTGGCCATAAAAGGCAATCAGGTTGGTCAGGCAGGACCTGCCTTTGATGAACCCATGCTGGTTTCCCCTGAGCATGATCTCCCCTCCTGGCCCCCCACAGATGTGCTCCTTGATGATTTTCTCCAAGATCTTCCCGAGGACCGAGGTGAGGCTTATGGGCCTATAGTTACTTGGGTCCTCCTTCCTCCCTTTCTTAAAACTGGGGACCACTTTAGCTAGTTTCCAATACCCCAGCACCTGGCCAGATGACCACGAATGCTCATACAGCCGGGCCAAGGGCTCTGCGATGACCCCTGCCAGCCCCCTCAACACCCTTGGGTGGAGGGCATCTGGACCTGCAGATTTAAAAATGTCCAGCCTTTCCAGAAGATCCCTAACTACATCTGTGCTGACCCAAAGCCTGACAGAGCTATGCTTTCTTCATTCTGAGTTTTTTGCATATTCTGTCTGCCCTTGAGCATTATACTTCTCAGGAATGTGCACCTCAGCTCACTTTCCATTAACTATGAGGGTTCAAATTATTTACCAATGGGTAGTTTCCCTGAGTCCAGCTAGATGGCCACACCTGATTTAGAGTAAATGGTAGTTGCCTTCATTTTAACACAGAACTGAAGCCAACGATGTACTATTTGACCTTTAAATAGTGATGTGCTGCAAAATCTCTAACAACAGTTCCCTCAAAAAATGCCCTGATCTTTAGAGGCCCATGGACAATAATACTGAGTAAGTAATATGCTGTGGGAAACAACATGCTTTGCTGTTATTGTCAACCTCAATTGTAAATGATAATTTTCTGTGGCTGCAAGTGATGATGGAAGGTGTTGCAGACAACATATAGCTTGAAAGCCACTGGTTGATATGCATGCCCAGCAACAGAAAATGAGGGGATTAGGGACCTTTACCAGCAGAAATGTAGGCATTGTTAAGATTAAACAGTAATAACTTTATAATTGGGAGAGGCACCTTGGAGTTGGACTTGCATGCAAAAGCTTATCTGTCAATAAAAGACAGATAAGTTACCACATCCTTTTAGTTACCACAGGATAGGAACAGGAATGCAGGTAGTTGCTACAGAACAGCTGATGCACTGGGGAGATCCTTAGTCCACTGCTATACAAAATCCAGAGACCCATGTGCATTTCTTTCTGGGGATTCAGAATGCAGGTGGTGGCAAGGAAGAACTTATAGAAAAGAAATGGACTGGGGGCAGGGGAATGCCAGACATCCCCCTGTTCCTGAGAGCATGGTACACAAACCAGATCTACAAGCTGGTGACCGGGCAGGTGACCAAAACAGCTTGTCTTTTCAAATATTTTGCAGGTCACCTACTGGGACCATAGGGGGTATACACACCAGCCAAAGGGAGACCATGTACCATGGAATACCCCTGGTTCTACAGTGTGCTAAATGAGTTCTGGAGCAAGTATGGGCTAAAGAAGGAAAGCCTGGTGACTATGACCAACCACAGAAAGATACGGAAGACAGTCAGAGACAAGCTATCGACTGTGGAGCTGCTCCCTGAAGACAATTGCCAAGCCACCTGGGACCAGATCTTTCACAAGGACCTACAAAAGGACCACAGAGACTTGAACTAGCTAATAGCTTACTGTGTACTCCCAGTGAAAATATGGAGATACAGAGAGGGGCAAGGGACTAGCCCCAACTGCCCCAGGGACAGCTGCCAAAATGAAAGCAAGACCATTGACCACCTCCTATGGAGCTGCCCCAATGCCAAGGGAGTATGGAAAAAGGTAAGCCAGCTGCATGAAGAGATGACAGAGGTCGGGCTGATGACAAGGGAGGTGGCACTGTACGGACATCTGACTAAACAGCAGGGGTCCCAGACAACCCGCTTCAACCAGTTTGTGTCCTGCATCAGGAGTGTCTTGTGGCAATGCAGGAACCTTTTGATGTACAGACACATGGAGCTCAAGGAAACAGACTGTGTTAAAATGTTTCTGAGCAAACTTAAGTCCTACTACCAGAAAGCAGTGGAAGAGGATGGAGAAGACACAGCCAACTCCACCTGGAAAAGAGACACTTGGCACAGGCTGTTCAAGAACCTCCCCCAGGAGGGGAAGAGGAGAAGGAGAACGAAAAGGACAACGATGCAACTGGACCTGGAGACAGCAAGGAAGATAGCAACAGGATCAGCAGCAGCGGAAGTAACAGTGACATCGACAGCAATAAGGACAGTGAATGACCTAAGAAAGTAAACCCCAAATCAGGGCTTAGACTGTGATTGGGTTGGGAAAGGACAGCGGGTGGATGCACGGGGGTGCAAGGGAGCAGGTGTGTTCATTTATTGTAATGGGTGTGTGGTTTCTTAATGCGGTTTAAGGTGTGTGATAGAAAGTTTTATGCTAGATGATGTGTATATATATATAACTGTATCTATATATATTTTTTTAACTGCAGAGCCCAGATGTAGAGTTCATACATGTAAATTATCTCTGCAAAGAAAAATATTAGTGTCTTAGCATTTTAAAATATATGCATAAAGGCTGACTTTCTTCTTTAAATTGGTACCTGGGCCCTAAGGCAGGACCTGTTGTTATGGGGTGGATGTACCCTCAGTTTTCCCAGGGCCTGAGAAATCTCAGTGGCACGTAATGTAGAATTCTGCACATCTCTTTTGACCAGAGTGGCTTCCCATTGCAAAGCTCCACCACCTTCCCTTGTCTGTGTAGTAGTTGTGGCTCTGTAATAAACTGTCTTACGAAGTGACTGAAATAAAACCTACCTTTGCATCTGTATATTTTCTTTTCCAATACGTTGGAGTGTAAAAACATCAGGCTAATATTTGTTCTTAAAGGCTGACTTGTTTGCCAGCTATGTTTGCTATTTGTGTTTCTTCAGATCTCAATTTCAAGAGTTTTCGTAGTTTATAGCTCTAGAGAACTGGAAAGAAATACTGAGAAGGGCAAAATATAGCATTTGAAGCCCAACCAAAGAGCTATTCTAGTCCAAAGCAAACAAACAAATCCTGTATCAAAAGCTGCATTATTTGTGCTCTATTAATTTGTAACCTATTTATTCTGTAAGTTAGTGTATGTCTTTAAAAGTTTTTCATTAAAAAAACTCATTTATTGGAGACTTCATTTCACCTTAACTAGTCTTTCAAATACATTTTTGGGGAGATAACAGTAAGAAAAAATTTCCTTAATTTTTCTTACAACATGAGGATCATTTGCAATTCTGCACATATATATATATATATATTTTTTTTTTTACAAATTTCCATTTGAGTGTCTGTGTTTGTATTTCAAGGGGCTCATGGGAGGATGAGAAGGTGTCATTCATGAACAACAGATATAACCACCTATGGGGATTGCTTTAAAGTTGTAAAATTTATTGAGCCAAATTGTGCTCTTAGTTGCAGTTATGTAAAATAGAAGTCAGTGGAGTTCTTTTGGACTTACATGTGTAACAGACTAGTATTTGCCTTGTGAAAATACATAAAAACACTGCTTAACTACAGCTGCAAAAATCTCAGAAATCCCATTACAGTTCCTATTATCAGCTTTGTTTCAAAATATAACGTGTGCAAGTCAATTTTAACTGTTACTAACAATAAGCCACAGACAAAAAATTCCATGTTAGCTTTCAAGAGGTGCTTAATTATTTTAGCCCTGACTTTACACTGAGAAAGGTACCTTACCAAAGTCGCCTTACTGAAGTTTTTCTCATGCAAGGGGATTACATTTCTACTTACACTCTTTATAAAGCTCTTTAAATATTTGCAAAATAATCTAGCTTGTCCTTTATTCCATAAGCAATTACTTTACTCCACATATAAAACTCCTAACAGTCATTATATATCAAACAATATGCTGATAAATGGATTATCAATGCCTTTCTGTCTAATATTGTGTAAAATTAGTTGCAAGGTATTAATTATTTCTTAACAGAGGCCTTAATACTTATACAGAGAAAAAATGCCTTCTGTATTATGTTACCTTTCTATTTACTTTGCAGAGGCTATAAATGTGGTTTGATTGATTGACTAGATGGTCTTCTGAAATAAATCTTTACAACTTCTCATGTAAACCCTGAACTGAAGCCCTCTTATAATGCCCAGCACTATTCCCAGACTACCAAAAACTAAAAGTTCTCAATAATCAGAGGGAAGCAATTTTCCCCTCTCAATGTCTGTGTAAAATAAGAGGTCTGTACCCCTGTGTAGATTATTCATAATATATGTATTAATAATATAAAGAATTTGGCTATAGATTTAAATAACTTTTTTCATCCTTTTTCACTAGTTAAGAGTGGCATCTTTTTCCCCCCAATAATGCCAAGCCAAGGAGATAGTGGATATTGTCGTATAAAATAGCTCTTTAGCTTTCTAATATTTTTAAAACAAACCCATTGTATTATTTATTAAACATGTAATTTAAAATCCCACGCCACATTTTGTTAAAAGATATGGTTGAGTAAAAACACAGCTTATCTATCACCTCTTCAAGCAGTACTCAGTAGTCAGATTTGAATAGTCCAATATAAAGGTTGGACAACTTAGACTTCATGTCTCCAATGGTGGAGCAAGATATAATCTGGTGGTGGTGGGTGGAAGGGAGTGGCTCAGACTGTATATGTCTTCTGAATATCAAGACTCCAGATTTTGCTTGGAAGTGAATACAAAGTCAGTGTAGTCTTTGCAGAGCTGGTACACTATGTTCCCTGTGGCTAACACTGCTATGAAAGAGTCTGTTATAGTCTGTACCAGCTGTTGCTAATGAACTTCACCATTTAGCCCCATCCAGACATAATCCAGTCTGGATATGTTAAAGGCAGGGATAACTGTGGCAAAGTCAAGAAAAAATAATGATGAGTATGAAAGTGAAGCCACCAGAAAGATGAAAATAATTTTGATCATTGACCCCATCCTAAGAAACTTGGATTTAGACATCAGTTAATTAAAATGGTATGGCACACTTCCTTCTGTGTGCTGATCAAATGAAACAGCATTACCCTCAGCACACCAACTATTCTAAGGAATATGGGAAAATTCATCCTAACTATAAGACATGTGGGGGGAAAAGCAACACCATCAAGGAAGGATTTAATACTATTCTGAATTGCTTCAAGGACCTGGAAAGAGAATTAAAGATGCAATGGATAGCCTTTTGGTACTACAAATGAAAAAAATGGAGAAAGCTCGTACTCAAAACTAATCTGGTTTACACAGGAGTGCTTATATACCATGGTGATGAGTGTTTAGGAGCATAAAGGAGAATCTTGGATTCGCTGAACTTTGGAATAACTTTTATGAAGAGAACGCTTTGGATAAAACAAATTTCCATGTAAAGGGGAAGAGAGACTCAGACTCCCATGTTTGAAATGGGCAAGATTTTTTGTATGGGCCTTAAATTAAAAACTTAAGTGAAAACCAAAGCATAGAGTAGAGGGCAGCCAATAGTTGTTCAAACAGCTCTTAGTTAGTTCAAATGAACTCAAATAATTTTAGGAGATGCATTCACATGAATAATGAGGTTGAAGACAGAATTAATCTGAAACAGCGTATAATAATGAAAACTATTAAAACATTGCATATGAATATACAATCACATGAATGGGAAACAAGGCAGAATGCAATAGAATAATTACTCAGTGAAGAAGAGATGTAACTGAAACCTAGTGAGATAATTCTCCCAACAGTGATAAATACAACTATACTGTAAGGTGAGAGACAGAAAGGGATGACCTCTCTAATACCAAAGGAGGGAAAATTATTTGAATCAGGATATGAAGAATGCAAAATAAAGGAGAAATCACATAGGCTCAATTCTCTACTGAGTTGATATAGAGCTAAAGCATGGTGCTGAGACGGATATAGGTGAAAGCAAGGAAAGACCTTCTGCCAGCTGAGAATCAGGATTAAGGGAGCCTTGCTCCATCTCTTCACCTGACCTGTCTTTTCCAGCATGACACCTGTATGCCCCCTTTCCCCTTGGTACCACAGATATGCTGGAGGAGGAGGCAGCA